CAAGTTGAGTACCCAGATCTAAAAAGGAAAATTTCCAGTGGCTTTAACAAGAACAAATCTTTTGGAAGTTGGAGTGATGAAGACAGTTCAGAACACGAAGAGATAGTAAATCTTTGCTTTTTGACGATTCTGGAAAATGAGATAAACAACTCCTTAGGATGCTGGATGGACGAGGACACTTCAGATGATGAATACAAAGATAATAATGAGAACTGTTTCATGGCACGAGATGAAACAAGCGAGGAACACCACAGAGTAAGCCGTAAAGGAAAATGGTACTTAGACAGTGCGTATTCCAGTCACATGACATGTGATAAAAACCTATTCAAAGAATTTACAAAAATTGATGGAGAAAATGTTAAGTTTGGAGATGACTCAAAAGGAAAGATAATCAATACTGGAACAATTCCTTTCAATAACAACTGTGATACTACTGAAGTTTATCTCGTTGATGGACTTAATGTTACGCCCCGCAATATTACGTCGATATTACGTCCCGCAGTATTATATTACGATGATGTTATGCCCTGCAATATTATATTACGATGATTTTATGCCTTGCAGTATTACATTACGGTGATGTCACGCTTCACAATATTAAGTTATGACAGTGTTGCACCTTGTAGTATTGTGCGTTGAATTTGTTGTAAGGTAATTGACACCAGTCTAAGGAAAAGATTATTTGGAGATTATAAGGATTGTAAGTGTTATGAAGGATAAAGAGGTACACAGATTAAAGAAAACGAGTTTCGTTGAAAGTGGCCAATTTGGAATAAAATACGGGTCGAGCGATAATGCCCGATAATTATGAACTAGTACCATGCAAGGTACTATATGACCACGGTAGTATAATATATAAAGTATATATGAAGTATTTTTTTTAAAAAAAAATATATAGAATTTTAAGTAATTTGTGTTATTTTTAAATTATGTGGTTAATTGGTTAATTACCGGGTAATGAGACATTACCCGGTTAACTAATAAGTGGATAAAAATTAACATCCCACCCCCACCCCACGTGGCAAGAAGCCAGGAAATTGGAAGTAACTAATAGTCACTTTTGCCAAATGGCTAAATGATGGAAATGACGAAGCTTTAAAGTCTTAGCAAACTAAGGATATGAGAAACCATATTCTGTATTTTGGTTTTCAAACCAAAAGATATTAGAGATAGAATCTTTGTTCAACATTAAAAATCCATAAGCAAAGTCTTGTTCAAAATCAGAAGCAGAAACCTTACGCCTTCCAAACAAAAAAAACGTGATTCATTCCAAGAAGTTCAAGGAATCAAAAGCAATATTCGTCCGTGAATTTCTACAAAGCAAGGGCAAAATTTTGCTCAACCACAAAGGTTTCCAACAGGATAATTATACGAAGTTGTTCCTACTCCAGGTATGTTAAGGCTAAGCTCTTCCTTCATTTTAGTATGATCTCGTCATTATACAAGTTTGATAACGTGGCATAAAGAAAAATTTATATCCCGGAATTTACGTATATTTTGTTAGTCTCGCAAATTGCGCATATTTTCCTAGTTTTGTAAGTTATAATATTCTCATTATTGGGACTTCATATTCAGTTGAGTATTTCCTTCTTCCAGTCAAGAGAGCAGAGAATTTATATATATATACAGTATTAAAAGTATTTTCATTACCATCGAGCTATAATCGATGGGCAGGCCCCTATTGGGCAACCTATGATGAGATGGTAAGTTATATACCGAGCCTACTATGGCCGAACGCTTATGAGCGAGCCTAGTTGGTCGAGATACAGAATCTAGTATAGTCGAGAGCTTATGAGCGAGCCTACTACGACAGAGCAGTTATATATACACCGAGCCTTATAGGTCCGGACAACTATTTTATTTACTATATTGAGAGAGTTAAGTTAGTATCAGCAGGTAAGTATATCTTCAGATTATCTTTGACTTCCAGCTACTTTCTGTTATTATATTATCAGTTCAGTTTCATCTTTCAGTATATTGCCTTACATACTCAGTACATTATTTTGTACTGACGTCCCTTTTCTGGGGGTGCTACATTTCATGCGTGCAGGTCAGACAGACAGACGGGTAGGACTCTTCAATAAGTGTTGCCCGAGTTCATCTTGATCGGTAAGCTCCATGCCTTTCACAGTTTCCGGGTTGAGAGCCTTATGTACATCTTGTATATATATGTATATAAGTTATGAGTAGGTCAGGGAGTTGTTCCGATCACAATATATCAATCAGTAGAGACTTGTAGACATATCCTGTCAGTTAGTGCAGTATGTTGACTTGTAGGCCTTTTATGAATATTTTGTTGATTTACCAGCTATAGTAGTTATGACGGCCTTTTTGGCCCAACATTATATTGTTGTTTAGTCAGTATTTGCAATTGTTTGGCAATGTGGCCCATGGCCAAATTTTGACATTATATGTTCAAAATCCCTTAGTCGTAAATTGGTACGTAAGGATAGATAAGGCACCGGGTGCCGATCTTGCCCCCCAGGTTCGGGATGTGACAAAATTGGTATCAGAGCAGTTCTGTCCTAGGGAGTCTACAAGCCGTGTTTAATAGAGTCTTGTTTATGGGTGTGTCGTGCACCACACTTATAAGCAAGAGACTATAGGGCAGTTAAGATTGTCACTCTTTCTTCTTACTCTAGATCGTATGGTATAACTCACTTATAAGAATTCAAATTTCGAAATTCTATTATATTCATAATAAGATGATACCTATATCCGGAAAGAAGGTTGGAAAGAGAGATAGCAGTGGAAGAGCTGAGTCAGAGGAATTGGATATGTATGATGCCTACGATAAGTAAGTGTGAGGTCTTTAACAGATCATGAGCGTACTGAAAGGTGTAAGCTTCCTGATAAGAAGCCTTACATAAAGAATGCCTATCCACCTTTATGGAAAAAGACAACGAGAGATTAAGAAGATAAATACAAGTTTCAACAAGTAAAAGAAGCAAGATGAAGAAGGGTACGAGGCACCCAGTTAATGAAGGTTAACATTGTTTATAATTGAGGTAGAGGAACATAAGCTTTTTGAATTATATTTAATAGTAATAGAGGTTTGTACAATTGGTCACACCCATTTCAGTTATCCCTTGTGAGTGCTAACCAGTATAGTTAAGAGAAGGACGAGATATCAAGATCCGGCTGGAGTTAGGGTAACCCAAATTGGTAAATGGATTGCTTGTGTTAGTTGACATTGCCGAAGGATATTGAAAATGTGCTAACAAAATCTCCTTATAAGACACCTAGATGGTGCACTCTAAAATAGTGCAGCCAGATATGATGTGATGACCCAAAATGTCACCTTTAAATTAAATAACTATCTCGATATTTTAAGACCTTGAAAAGTGGTATCAATAATTCCTCGACTTGCGTGCGCAGTCCATATAAGTTTTCGAAAGGGTTTTATGTGAAAACTGGATTAAATTGTGAATTAGAGCTTTAAAACTCAACTGAGTTGACTTTGGTCAATATTTTGAGAAAACGAACGCGGATTCAAGTTCTGACCATTCTGGTAGTTCCGTATCGTGATTTGGGACTTGGTCATATGCCCGAAATCAAATTCGGAGGTCCCTAGCTCAAATTATCGCCATTTAACAGAATCTAGAAATCTAAGGCTAAAGATTTCATAAGTTTGACCGGAGATTTGACTTTTGAGAAAACGACCTAGGAATGGAATTTTGATGATTCCTATAGTTTCGTATGGTGTTTTGGGCTTAGGAGCATGTTCAGATTTGGATTTGGAAGTCCGTAGGACAATTTGACGCATTTTGGCGAAAGTTAGAAATTTGAAGGTTTTTGAGAAGTTTGACCGAGAGTTGACTTTTGATATCGGGGTCGGATTCTGATTCCGAAAGTTGGAATAGGTCCGTAATATCGAATGTGACTTGTGTGCAAAATTTGAAGTCATTCCGAAATAATTTTGGTAAGGTTTGAGATACTTAGTTACTTTTAAGGAAGCTTAAGTTGGAAAAGTCAACCGGATGTTGACTTATGTGTTAGAGGGCTCGAATGTGAGTTTCGATGGTTTGGTTAGCTTTGGGAGGTGATTTGTGACTTAGGAGCGTGATCGGAAGGAGTTTTGGAGGTTCGTAGTAGACTTAGGCTTGAATTGGCGAAGTTGATATTTTGGCGTTTTCCGGTTGATAGGTGAGATTTTGATATAGGAGTCGGAATAGAATTCCAAGAGTTGCAGTAGTTCCGTTGTGTCATTTGGGATGTGTGTGCAAATTTTCATGTCATTCGTACGTGGTTTGGTTGGGTTTTTTTATCAAAAGAGTAATTTAGAAGATTTTGAAATTCTTAGGCTTGAATCCGATGCGAATTTGGTGTTGTGATATTATTTTGAGCGTTCCGAAGGTTGGAACAAGTTTGAATGATGTTATGGGATATGTTGGCATGTTTGGTTGAGGTCCCAGTGGTCTCAGGTGAGTTTCGGGTGGTTAAACGGACTATTTCATCTTTGGAAAAGTTGCAGATTTTTTAAGCTTCAGCTGTGCACTAGAAAATTTCTGGTGCGAGGAGTCCAGTTTGGAAGCTCATATCTTGAAATCTATAAGGAATCAGAAAAGGTACGAAACATGAAAGTTGTAACACTTGCATTCTAGTTTCCAGAAAGTTAAACCATTCATGATTTGGATATTTTATCAGAAAGTTATGAGGAAGCGAATATAGCTGGTGGATCCGTTTTGATAGAATTTTCAGATGCACTTTAGAAGCTCATATCTCGGAATATATAAAGAATTATGTGGTGTACAACCTATCAAATGAAAGATATTCGAGTCTAGTTTTTAAATATTCAAACCGTTTGTCATTTGGATATTTTCACAAGGTGTAATAGGCATTTTAACAGAAGATGTACAGCAGAAAAAATGGTAAAAGGATGTACAACCTGCACATCGCAAGGTACACCTCGATGAAGCCTGGGCAGAATGTTTAAGTCCTCTTGTCCGCGATTTGGGTCCATTTTTCAGCCATAGTTGATCATTTTGAGAGCTTTTTGAAGGAGATTGAAGAGGGATTCAAGGAGAAATGTTTGGAGGTAAGAATTTCGGACCTAAAACTCGTTTATATTATGAAATCCACCTAGAAAATCATTGAATTCTTGCGCGAAATGGAAGAAATAGGGCTTGAGATTTTGATATTCTAATTAGGGATTTGGAGGACCATTTGGGGTCGGATTTGAGAACTTATGGTATGTATGAACTCGTGGGGAGATAAGGAACCCGTTGATGTAAAAATTTCTGAATTTCGAGAAGTGGGCCCGGGGCTCGGGTTTTGCTAATTTCGGGATTTTTGATATTTTTTGATTGTTTTCGATTGAGTTTTGTTCCCTTAGCATAATGTGACGTATTCATTCTGGTTTTGTTCAGATTCGACGTGCGGGGAGGCCGATTTGAGTGGCAAGGGCATATCGAGCTAGAGCTTTGGCCGGTTTAAGGTGAGTAATGATTTTAAATGATGTCCTGAGGGTTTGAAACCCCAAATTTTTCACAACGTAGTGCTATACTGAGATGAGACACACGCTGCGTGATGAGCGTGGGGTTCATTGCTATTGGGGATTGTGACTTGGTCCATCCCAATTGATATTTTCACTACATTTTTACTGAGACTTATGTTTTGTCATCATGACTTGGGCTAGTTGCCATGTTTGGGGCCTTGTGCAGACCTGTAGAACCCTTATGGAATTTTTGACTGGTTTTCCTCACTTATTTGCTAAAAATCATATCCTCAATCATGTTTCTAATTGTTTAAAAATGATATGAACCGGGTTATAAAATGTTAATCATAAATGAAAGAAATATGTGGGCTGAGATCCCTACTTTATATTATTGTGCCCGAGAGGCTGTGATTATAATGACTGAGAGGGGTTGAGGAGCCAATAGTGAGGATATTATATATGATATTGGATCGAGCTGCACGCCGCAGCAAATACTTATATGGACCGGGCTGCGCGCCGCAGCAAATATGTAAATATATATATATGGATTGGGCTGCACGCCGCAACAATATAGTTCTTGGGCTGTAGGAGCCCCTCAGAAGTCTACACACCCCCAGTGAGCGCAGTTGACTATTATTATTATGGATCGAGTTGTGCGCCACAACGATATAAGGATCGGGCTGCACGCCGCAGCGGTATATATATATGTTTTGATTTCGGTTATTGTGAGAAGTATATGAATTGAGTATTGAGGGTAAGAAATAAGTAAATGAACAGAAATGCTCGAGGAATGGATTTATACTGGATTAATGCCTGTCAAACTACCTGTTTTCACCTGGTTCAAAGAGTTTCATTCAATTTTCTTTACTACTTGCTCTTTAAATGGTTTTACTACTTTGATATAAAACTACTTAGTGCCTTTACGTGATTTCATGTCGTCAGTCATTATTTATTGTTATTACTACTAGGTCGGAGTACTCACATTACTCCCTGCACCGTGTGTGCAGGTACAGGTGTCCCTGAGGTATAGAGCGAGCTTTCCTACCGTTCAGGTTTTCATCGGAGTTATCGAGGTAGCTGCATGGCGTCTGCAGACCCGATTTCTCCCTCTATATTTTTTTACTATTCCGCATTTTTGACATATTTCTACATTAGGCTGTTGAAACCTTGTATTAGAGGCTCAGACTTGTGACACCAGATCATTGGGCATTTGTAGAGATTTCATTATGGCTTTCTGCATATTTCAATCTTTTATTTAAGACTTCTACTTATATTAAATTGGTATCTATTTCTAAAAATTGGTAATGAATTCTAATAAGAAGGGATTGTGAGTGGTAATTGGTCGGGCTTGCCTATCATCGTGTTGGGCGCCATCACGACCAAGATTGGGGTCGTGACAAGTTGGTATCAGAGCCTAGGTTACATAGGTCTCACGAGTCATGAGCAGGTTTAGTAGAGTCTCGCGGATCGGTACGGAGACGTCTGTATTTATCCTCGAGAGGCTGCAGAACCTTTAGGAAAATTTCACATTCTTAAATTCTTATCGTGCGTCCTTGATTCAGTTTGAGATGTAACTCTTTGAATTCCTTCCACGTATTCGTGTGCGCACATGAGCGTTCAGTATCTATTGTGCATCGACAGCTTGTGATTCCTTGGATGAGGTGCAAGATGTGATTTATGTGTGTGATGTTGGGCCAGTCTGGAGGACTTGAGGCAGGGTTTTGTCTGTGGCTTGAGTACTGAGATTTCGATTGTGTGAGCACGTACATTTGGGACTTATATGTCCGTTTGTGTCCTTATTGGTTGGATTTGTGACTGGATAACTATGGGGCGAGTATGATATGATTGTGAGATGTACTCAGATTGTTCGAATGTGATAAGAAGAGTTTTTTGGAAATGTAGTAAGGACTATTGGGTGTTTGACTTCCGTCTTGAGTTGACATATGACCTCGATCTATGGGTGTGTTGAAGGACCTCTCGTGTAGTTTAGTTGTGGAGTGGAGTAGGTCTTCATGTTGTGTTATGAGTTAGATTGACTGTTACAAGGGTGAATGCGAGATTTGTAAATGGTTTGAGGAATTAGATGGGTTGTGTTGCATGAGCTTATGAAGGATTTAGCTTAATCTCATCTAGTTGGGGTAGCTCAACTAGTTATTGCGGCACTGGACGATGAGAGGCCTTCCTTGTCTTTTGAGGCTTTGCCGAGATTGGACAAGTGTACCAAGCTATTTCCAATCCATTTCAGTGGTATACCTTCTGAGGACCCACATAATTTTCTCAACCGCTGCTATGAAGTATTAGAGAACATGGGAATAGTTGAAAGCAATGGGGGTTGATTTTACTGTGTTTCAGATGACGAGTTCCGCTAAGATTTTTCTTGATGGAGCTATACTTTTGTGATTATTGTGCATAATTAGGGGAAAGAGTTACCCCAAAGAAGAATCGAAGAGTATATAAATAAATAGGTTAGCACAACAGTGTTGAGTCAACATAGCAAAAGAGGAAATTAGCTGCC